CCCCCCCGGCCAGGTGACGAGCGGTGCCGGTAAGTAAATCTCCGCAGCCCGCGCGCGCGCCCCGCCAGAGGCAGGCACGGCCAGCTGGGTGTGGCTCACCGTGGTGTTGCTGGCTACACAGCTGCGGCCAGGTGCGGTGCCGCCGCCGCTGTCACCGTCGTGCCGCGCGTCCCTCTCGAACCCGTTAAGCGCGACACGTTCCGTTGTGCCCCGGGACGGTGCTGCGGTACGGTACGCCACGCCGGACCAGGCCGTCAACATTCCTCGAGCAAAACGCTTTGCTCCACACCACCACCACCACCACCAACACTGTACTGCTCAAACTGTCCGCGCTGTTTGCAGCTAGCAGTGCATTATGATGTTTTGCTCCAAAACGCCGCCGCTTCTGGGCAGCAGTGTCACTCGACCGTGTCCAAAGGGGCATAGATGCACCCTCTTCCCCTCCCCTTCCCGCATCATGCCGATTGATTGAAAGGCCAACGGCCCGCTGCTGCGAGTTGTCGAGTTTTTGTCCCCCGGGCGGGAAGCTCGAGGCTCGTTGCCGTGCTCTATTGGACGTGTCGGATGGGCCGCTCGGTCCTGGTCAAATTGCACCGCGGGCGCCGCGCTGTGTTCAAAGGAGAAGGCGGGGAAAAAAACAACAACTTCCAAGGCGCGCGTCGGTAAAGAGAGGGCGGCGCTGGGCTGGCGGGGGTTGTTCCGACAGCAGCGCGTCTTCAATACGTACCTGCTCCACATTCCAGACGGCGGCGAGGACGAGGCGTCCAAGCGACGGCGCTCCAGGACCAACTTCAACAGCTGGCAGCTGGAGGAGCTGGAGCGGGCCTTCCTGGCCAGCCACTACCCCGACGTGTTCATGCGAGAGGCGCTCGCGCTCCGCCTCGACCTCAAGGAGTCCCGGGTCGCGGTGAGTACCTATGTCGGCGTGCTTCCTCACCGGGCAGGACCTACCCGGGGCAGGTGGTGACGTGGAGCAGCCGGATGCAGTGCGTGCAGAGGCGGAGCACACAGTAAATGGAACAGGACAATTTTGTATCCAGCGAGAATATACGTTCTTACGCATATCTTAAATGAGATGCAAATTTGTCTCTAAACTAGACACAAAAAACGTTATTTGTATTTAGTCTTGGTACAAATTGTAATGTTTCATATACAAATTTGCATCTATTTTAAATGTGCTGAAGAACGTATCCTCGCTAGATAAGAAATTTCTCTTTCCCATTTGGAGTGCAAGCGCATTCCGCTCGATAGACTTGTGCACTGCAAAAAGAGTCACTGAAAAAACTTATA